GGCCCCAGCCCCAAAAGCCCCAAAGATTGCCAAAGTAGGTGCGAGGCACTGCGTGCGAAAGAATGATTCTCAAGGCCATGTCCAACGGCGCACTGAACGACGTTCGCCCGACCGCATCCTGTATCAACGTGGCATTGGCCGGCAGCTCACTGACTGAAATCTCCGCAGCTTCGACACGCACGGATATTTCATGGCGGAACGGCTCGTGCACTGCATGGATCATCCTACCTGTCCTACCTACCAGGATCTAGAATCTAGAATCTAGGAACCTAGGCCCTAGGCTAGGCCCTAGGCCCTAGTCCCTATCTAGGCTACCCTACATTTCAAGGCCCTACAATGCTCTACAAGACGCCGTGGGGCCAGAACGCTAGAGTCCAGCAGTCCAGCAGATTCCAGGCTGTTGCGATAGATTCTGACTCTAGCCGCGATTTATGTGCCCTGGCACTGTAATCTGTAAGCCACAACCATTATGCCATTATGCCATTATGCCATTGCCCGCAGTGAATCGGTGCATGCACGACAGCGGTGACCCTGGGAAACCTACGGGCTAGGGACGCAGGGCACTCGCAGATACCACTTGAGGCCGAATAATAGATTCGATAGATTGATAGATGCATCCGAAGCAACACCCGGAACCGACGAACCCCTGCAACCCCCCAACCCATCGCCTGAGAAGATGAAGCCGAGGATGACGGCGACAGCGAAGTTGAGGTCAGGCCTGGGCAGCAGATGCAGAAGGAACACGCACACGGCGAAGCTCCCGAAGAGAGATGAAGAGAGGCACGCAGCCCACCAAGCAAATTAAGCAGATGGACCCAATCGCATTCCGGGCGCCAGGCGAAGATACCAGCGTCACATGTGGTAGACCTGGTAGACTCTATGACACTATGACTCTATGACTCTATGATGACTCTAGATAAGAACTGATGTTCGCAAACCGAAATGGCACATCTGAGCTTGAGCGGAAGAGAAACTGCCACCACTGGGAGTCCGGGCCGTCTGAGTCTGAAACAATCTGCTGGGCACGGAGGCTGCACGAAGGGATCCAGATTGTGTGGGCATGCGGGCTTGTCGATTGAATAATAATAGGAGGGATGCCAGCTGAGAGATTTGTGCACGAGAGAAGTCTGAGCCAAACGGTTGCGTGTGCCATCTACGTTCGCGGCCTATGGCCACTGGACTCTGGACCAATCAATCCCTCGACGATTCTATCTAGTTTCGAACTTCCGTATGCCGGAGCTCCTCCGATTCTGCGCCTGGCAGGGCTTTCCCGATGGTCATCCTGCCCGACCAAATGTCGTCCAGGTCCGACATGAGCTGGATATCTTTGCAGCGGGTCTTCGCAGGCTTAATCTTCACGGCGCCATCCTTGTCGATTACAGTGCCTGGCGAGTACAGTCTGCGTTCAAGGCTCCATTCTGACTTATGGCTTGTGACTTTTGTGACATGGCATCGTCATGCCTCCCGGGTCGGCCGCCTGCTGCATCTTCTCCCACGTGTCCTGCATTTCCCCATCGTCGATGGCGCTCGCGTCGTCCAGCACCAAGCCCTCCTGCCAGTTCCAAACGCATTCGACTATGACTATACTGACTATACTATACTAATACAACAGACCATGTTCACCACAACTATAATAATACTATAATAACTATGACTAACTACTATGACTAACTATAATAACTAGAACGAAATAAAGAAATATAATATAATGATATAATATGATAATATGAAACTTATGAAATATGACACATAAAGACTATACGACTATGATTAAAATAAACTAGGTTAATAACTGTTTTAAAAAACTACAATAATATTTATGATGTAACTATGACATAACTATGACACTATGACAGTGACCATGACTCACAGGTCCAGCGGTCCTTTGAAATGAACCTTGTGTCTTCTGCGTACAGTGCTATCGTTCCAACTGGCCTCCCATAACTCTCGTCCAAGAGGTAGCCACGCACTTTCCGTCCTTGCCAAGGAACAGTCATCAAGGCGACGCCCTTGGGTGGTTTGGAACCTTTCAGTCTAGTATACACCTTCTCCGGCCAGAGTATGCCCTGCAACATTTCCATTCTGCAGGATGTCGATCTCCCTGCGGCCAAACTCTGCTGCTGCGTCGCCTTCGGCTTGGATCCACCTCCCTGACCTCCCTTCTTTCCCCATTTCTGTTCATCTTCCTCTCTTTTGCTCCTGCAAAGAAACATATGATCAAGCAACTCAAGTGCATGCACCACCAAACAGAGGGGTCGTAGACAGATTTTTCTCCGGGGCCTGCAGCTGTGAGCTCGTGCCAGCGAGAATTGGCTGGCAGCGAGGCAGCTACATCGTAAATGTAAAATGTGCAATGTGAATTGACACGTACGGCAGCATGTACAATGCACAATGTACAATGGGGGACTGTGCAAGTACAATGTCCCATGTACAATATTGGACAATCTAGCAATGCCCAACGTGCAATGTACAGTGTGTGTACAATGTACAATGTACAATAATGTACAATGTACAATGTACAATGTACAAGCTTGGCCCGCAGATCACATCAGGTAACGTGACGTCTTTCTTGCCCGGTCAATCCGCAAGGTCTGTCGCTGATCTGTGAAGGCTGGCAGTACCAGCCTTCGTGGACTGCGAGGTCTCCTAAGCAAGACAAGGCTACTGCCGTCATCCGAAGAGATTTGCAAGTCTAAGTCGCTAAGTCAATCTTTAATTTAAGGAAGTGCCAGGTACACCAAGTGCACTGTACATGTGTACATTGGTACATCGTAGCTTAAGCCTTAAGCCAAAGCCTAAGCCGAAGCCGAAGACAGAAGAGGAAAGCAAAACGAATGAGGCTCACACTTCCTGTGGGAGGACTTTGCCTTAGCCGCCTTAGCCGCAGCCTTAGCCGCAGCCGTAGCCGCAGCCTCTGTGGGGACGGTCGCCGCCTTGGCCATTGCTGCGGGGATGCTCGTGGCCTCAGCCGCAGCCTTAGCCACCGCGCGACTGCTTGTGGCTGCGGTAGATGTGGCCGGTACCATTGGTGGGTCGTCGTAATACTCCACAGTATTGGGGTGGTCCTCTTCATTGGGCCGCATGGGTCTTATCTCGACGACGAAGCTGTGGAGGGCCCCGTAGCCCTCGGGGACATAGGTCAGCACGGGCCCTCCCAGGAAGTCCAAGACTTGTGCCACGGCGACTGACACCCTTCCTGAGATGCCAGCGAAGTCTCGAACTGGGCGAGGAGGGGGAGGTCCCAGAGCGGGCTGAGCGTGATCTCCCGCCTGTGGATGTGGTGGCACGCGAACTCCTGCCTCTGGATGTAGTGAAAGTGTTGTGTCCTCGTCAGAGTTGAGCAGGTCCTCCTCGTATGAGGACTCCTCATCCAGAGTCGTCATGATGACCCAGGCCACTGGACCACGGGCGGAGACGTCCTTTGAGCCTAGATGAGCCCAGACGCGAAACCACTGGATTGAATGTGCACGGATGCTGCGGAAACCTTCCGAGAATGGAGCTGATCAGAATATGAATATTGAATATTATTATTAGTTAGCAGTTATTAGTGAGTAAGTTGTCAAGCTATCCCTCAGGCCGCGATAAGGTCGGTCCTTTCCCAGTCTTCCAGGTCCTTCACGTACAGCGGCCTTTCTGCCGGGTTGTTCTCCAGCGTCTTCGCGATCTGTGCGGAGGGCAGGGGAGTAGTCAAGTGGGTTCACATTGACACGAGAAATCCGATAAATGATGGATTCAATAAACTTTCAATAAACTACTTAAGTCTTAAGTAAACAAGACAAACTTTCTCCAGATCGGCACTTCAGCAAGCTCAAGACATCACTCCGACTGTGACTGTTGACTGTTGTTGGCTATGACTATGACTATGACTATGATCTTGAATCTTGTCAAAGAATAATATAAAATGTAAACAATAACAGTAGTCTCCGGCCTTTGCGGTTCTGTACTTGTCGTCAGTGTCCTTCCGTGCCTGGAAGTTGAAGCACGGTGAGCACAGATTTCCACGTGCTCCACGCCATCGGATGGTCACCTCCCGCGGTGCAGGGAGCGGCAGAACCGCAAGACACTGCACACAGCCGCCACGAAGCACGATACCCGATACCCTGAATGCCCTGGGCCTGAATTCTTTCGATCCCGGCCTGGCTGGACTCCAAGGCGCGTGCTGCGCATATAGTGGTGTGCGGGGTGGTGTACTTCGACCGACCGCAAAATTTACATGTCACGTCGCTAACGCCTGCAGGGATCTGGAGCATCTCCGGGGGGATCTCCACGGGCTCCGACGCCATGTGCCAGCTGCTAGCTGCGGAGCTGTTGGATCACAACTCACTGGTGTGAGCTACCTTGAGCTTCTCCGTCATGACACGAGTCAGCCGCACTCACAGCTGTGGCAGACTGTCTCCACTAATCAACTAGTCGGGATTATTAGTCAATGTCAATGTTCATCGGAGCTGTACATCAGAATCAGACTTGGACTGACATTCCCGGTCTTTTTGCTAGCCGCTGGCACGCCGCAGCAGTCAGCAGTTTGGCAGCATTGGCATCATCAAACCTGGCCGGACAGGCTTGAAGCATAGGTGTATTTAATCTAATATGTACTCAATGTATTCAAATTTAAACTTTAAACTGTTTAAAACTTTAAACTTTAAACTTCTTTAAACCTAAGGTAGGGCCTAGGGCCTAGGGCTTAAGGCTTAAGCGGCTTAAGCGGCTTAAGCGGCTTAAGGCTTAAGGCTTAAGGGCTTCAGGCTTAAGGCCTAGGACTTGGGCTCACGAGACAGCAACCCAGCAACCTACCCCCCCCCACCCCCCCTCCCCACCGGGGTGGCCTTTCGGGTGTGTGTTCTGTCACATCTGACGTGCAATCAGACTCTATTCACGGATTTCACTCTTCCTGCAAATGAACACAGCTGACAGCAAAGACCACTACTTTTTGTGGCCACAAAGGCGCCGGAACATGCCGCTGTTGCTTCTTCTGGCTCATCCTTCGACGAGCCAGCCGACTGTCAGTCAAATATATCCAGAAAAGCACTGGAACTGGAACCTGCCGCTCTGACTTCTTCTAGCTCATCCTCCGGCAAGCCAGCCGAGCACATCCTCTGAGGGCCACTCCTGCTGCGCCGGCTGCACTGTTGATTGATGGCCAAGAAGACCAAGCACGCGAAGGATGTGGCTGAACATGACCCCCCTTCGAAAGCATTGCCTGCCAAATCGTTCAGGAACCTGTTGCTGTAGCACGCCAGCTTGTGCTCATCAAACTCAAGGCCCTGGAACCGCATTGCCTCGATTCCATGTAAGAAGCGGGCTCGATGCGTCAACATCTTGGCACCGGAAGGAGTTATGCAGGGCATCCTGTCTTCGACAAGTGTTGCGAAGCTCAGCTGCTGGGACAAGTCAATGACTCGGGGACGTTTTTCTGGAAGATTGTGCACACCCTTGAGCTGGAGAATCTCTGCCTGCCGCTGCGTCAGCTTGCCCAGCACTGGGTAATGGCTGAGAAGGCTGTTTGTCGGGTCCATGTAGTTCGGCACCATCTGGCGCTCGTCCTGCGTACTAAAAATGTATAACAACTTCATTAACTTCATAACTTTATAATATTTATTTATAAACTCTATAACCCATAATTTTATAATACTTTCTAATTCATATTTAATATTTATACAATTTATAGATTTATAATTTATAGTAATTTATTGGATTTATAATTTATAGTATTTATAGTTTGATAACTTCATTGAAATTGATTATTGAAGTTCACTTATTGAACGTTATTCAACCGTGATCCGTTATTTGATTGCCGAGCCTGGTCCAACTTTTTGAAAGCTTCCCGATGTGCAGCTGCCCATTTCGGTGATCCCTGGTTCCTCTCAGCAGTAGGCTTGCTTCGCTTGCCAGGTTGTGTCGTCCCAAAGTTCGCAAGCCTCTTCCTCGCAACCCTGGACTTTGGCGGCGTGCCCACTGCTCCAGCAGAATCGAACAGCCTGCCAATGTCCAAACCGCCATCACCCGCCTCGGTAGAAGACAAAGCTTCCCGGCGCTGTGCTTGCAGAATGGGGTCCTGCTCAGACAGCAGGTAATCATCAAGAACATTGCACTCCACCTGTGCACAGTGGCTCATCAACTCATCCAGCAGCTCGTGAGCACAGGCTTCGTCCATAGCTAGATCCTCCAGGCGAAAACTCACACCCCACAATCGCGGCCTGGACTGCGCACTCCCAAACAGTGTGGAATTCAATTGCCAAACGTGTGTCCATCTTCCACACGCACGCAGCAGATGCACCACGGAAGATAAATTGCTTGGCCCAACTTCGCGGCGCTGAGCGTCCAACGGTGGCTTGGACAGCGCACTAACATTTTCAAAGATGAAACATTCCGTCTGCATGTTCTCCAGGTACCGGCATATCGCCTGGAAAACACTGCCTGTGCGCAAGCCTCCCTTGGCCACACAAAGCCGGTGCTCCTCAGTGCGATGCCTTGAATTCAAGCAGCTAGCATCGTCGCACGGGAAGCCAGCAGCTATCCAGTCAGTTTCAGGCATCGGCTCCACCCAACAGCCTTCTAAGTTCTTGCATGCACCACGGCTCATTGGCAGCACGTCACCAAACATCTGCTTGCAGCTCGGATACATGCTTTGCAAAAAACGCTGCTTTGCCGCGTGCTGTTCGCAAGAAAAGACATGCTCCATGGAACACTTAGAAGATCCACCGCCGTACTCCCCGAGGACTTGAAGAAGGTTCTCCCACACCTGGATCGGGCAATCCGTTCCGGAACAGAAAGTGCCCATGCGCCATCTTGGACGGTCCAGCCTCTGATGACACAGCAACAAACTAAGACTGTGACTTTGACGTCGACTCGACTCAGACTACTCCTAGACTTCTAAACTCTAGACTCTAGACTCTAAACTTTACTCTAGACTCTAAACTCTAAACTATAAAGATTTAAACTCTCATAAAATCTTAAACCTATCCAGATTCAACGCTTAAAAGACTGTGCGTTAACTCTAAACTCTAAACTTTAAACTTGACTCTAAACTCTAAATATTAAACTTTAAACTTTAGCCACTGTCATCAGACGTTAAACTTTAAACTTTAAGCTCTAAGCTTTAAACTTTAAACCTTAAACTTAAACTTAAACCCTAAATTTAAATGACTTTAAATCTTTAAATTAGACTTTTAAACTTTAAAAATTGAACTTAAACTTTATACAAACCGATTAACATTTTCAAGTAGTTTAATTTTTAATTTGAAAGTTTCAAGTTAAAGATGTCTAATCTAAAATCTAAATTTGTTTAAAAGATCCTACAAGTCAGTCTAAGCGCTTGTCGCACAACCGCCGGAAAGGATATCTCAGACAGCCCCTGCGGTGTCTCAGAACAGGCCCCTGAGGCGTCTCAGAAGGGCGTCTCAAAACGGGCCCGATCTCAGCAGCCCTAGTTGGTGTATCAGTTCCGGGCCCGGGAACTGATACACCAACTAGGGCTCCTGAAACGCCCGAGACGCCCTTCTGAGACGCCCCCCCCAAGGCTGTCCTGAGACGCCCTTCTGAGACGCCCCCGGGCCCGTTCTGAGACGCCCTCCGGGCCCGTTCTGAGACGCCCCCGCGCCCATTCTGGCTTTCTCAAAACCGTTCTGAGACACCTCCGGGGCCGTTCTGAGACGCCTCCGGGGGCCGTTCTGAGACGCCTCCGGGGCCGTTCTGAGACGCCTCCGGGGCCCCGTTCTACGGTTCAAGGGCCTGTTCTGAGACACCGCAGGGGCCAGTCAGCACACTATTCAATCACTATCCAGACTATCCACGATCCACTATTCACTATTCCAAAACCTTGTCCGAGATGCTTCGAGACCCTCCAATTTTATGACATATGACGAGAATGAACTTGTGACTTGTGAGATCTATAAACTTTATAAACTTTTTAACACATGCAGCCAAGAGACGCGAGCTGGCTGACAGCATGATGAAAGCAAGGAGGGAGGCCACGCATCCACATGCCAAGAAGTGACTTCATTCTTCCCGTGCCAGGTTTCACGCTCGGCCACTGTGACGCAGGCTCAAGCAACGGCGGCGTAATTCTTGGCACAAAACCTTCCGCCCAGTCATCGAGCAGTTGCTGTGCCGCAGCTTCCATTGCCCACAGAAACTCAACGGCTAATGCGGCTAATTAGCTAATTGAATAGAACAAAAAAATGAATACCACAATATAATAATTGCGCTGTCGAGTCCTAGTGCGTCCTTACAAAGCCTAGCCTAACAGGGCCTGACCGCCTAACCTGACCACTAGTTACTAGTTGTTTTTATATATCATACGTGGCGCAAAAGAACTGCGGCAAAGCGGTGCGTGCCAAGGGTTCACGGAGGCGTGCAAAAGTTGAACCTTACAGCTTCAAGTCATTAGAACGTTTATAAGTTTAGTTAGGTTAGTTACGGTTAGTTAGTTTAATGATTGATTAATGATTAATGATTAATGATATGGCAGAACCCTGCGGCCCTTACTTACGCCCTCGAGCTGGCCTGCACCGGCAAGCGTGCGCAGACGGCCGCCAAAGTCAGTTGGTGGCCTCGCGGGTCAAGTGAATGAGAGCTCTGAAGCATCGTCAGCGACAGTCTTAGAAACCTGCTGCTTTTGTCACGTCGAACGTGCAATCAAGCACTGCGACTGCGGGTGTGGATGAGGGACTACATCGACTACGTTACTAACCGTTACTACATTGACTATATTGCTGATAAACGCACATATGACAAATGGGACCTTGAGCCCTCTTGCCTTGGCCGCCTTGGCCGCATCCGGCTGCCAGCGTCAGCGCAGTCCTGTATTGAAAATGCTTTGCAGCTCAAACAGCAGAGGCCGACCGGCCACGGAAGTTGTGAAGGGCAGACAATATGGTATGGCAGTGCAGCTGATGCCGTGAGGACGAGCATTTTACCGCTGGCAGCAACAGCGCTCATGGGTCGGCGCCACCAGATGAGGAGCTGTGCTGGGCTTGGCAGGACGCTTGCCGCTTCGGACTTCGACTTCGACTTTGACGTGCAGCAAGCCTTTGCCGTTGCTCCGACTCCAACGCCTTGGAAGTCTGCTTGCTGGCCAGGTCTGGATCCTCTTCTACGTCTGCATCGGAAGCAAAGAGGTCCGAATCCGAATCTGCTCCATTCTCCAGGATCCCCCGATCAGAATCAAGGTCCGCCAGGGCTGCAGAGAAGTCAAAGCTCGCCGAGTCCAAATCTGGCGGCTCGCGATGTAGGTCTGGATCCATATCCATACCCAGCTCGGGACTGAGGTTTCCCGCAAGGTCCAAAAGCCCTTGTTTCGACTCCAAAGCCGGGGCAGTCATCGGTGCAGTCAAAGAGTGCGGCGAAGCCCGAGGGATTCGGGGAAGAAGGTCTCCCACGGGTGTTCCTCGGCCGGGTGGTCTTCGCTGCTTGCTGGCCAGGTCTGGATCCTCTTCTATGTCTGTGTCGGAAGCAAAGAGGTCCGAATCCGAATCTGCTCCATTCTCGAGGATCTCCCGATCAGAATCAAGGTCCGCCAGGGCTGCAGAGAAGTCAAAGCTTGCCGAGTCCAAATCTGGCGGCTCGCGATCTAGGTCTGGACCCATATCCATACCCAGCTCGGGACTGAGGTTTCCCGCAAGGTCGCCGGAAGAGAAGTCGGCACTGCGCTCATGGCATATGGCATATGGCATATGGCATATGGTGATCGAAGGGAGAGCAAAGCCCCTTCCTAGTTTGAGCCTTGATGCTAGGTCAGAGTCGAGTCTAGGTCCGGTCTACCAGTCTACCAGCAAGTCCAGGTGCTGCCAGGCTAGGTGCTGAACTGCCAAACAAAGACGTTTTAACTTTCAAGTATGCCGATGCATGCAGATTCTGCACGACCTCTTTCTGCCCTTTCCTCGAAAACGCTATATGTTCCCCGGGTAGGGTGAATCTCCGGGAGAAGCCTTTGCAGCTTCTGTGCCAGCCCCTCCGCCCCCAGTGCGCCATCTCTCCTGACGATTCGAGTCGTGAGCCATGTCCTCCGCCTCCAACGCCGGCTTGTCGATCCCCTGTAGGACTGTAGGACTATGTGACTATAGTGACTATAGTTGAAGCCTATAATACTATAGTCTACTATAGGCCCGACAGTACTGCAGGCTCTACGCTCTCTGCCGGCGTGGCACAAAACTGCTCACTTCTTCTCCTTCTGGGCATCCAAGACCTGGGCGCCGAGGGGGCTGAGGCACGCTCTGACCAGAGACTCCGAGGTACCGGCTCAGCGGCGCCTTGGAGGAGATCTCGATCGCGGTCTGCCCCCCTCCTGCAGGCTGTAGGGTGGGTAAGGGGGTTTGTAGTTCTAGATTCCTAGATTCTAGATTCTGGAGGTTAGGCCTCTCCAGATGGCCCAAATTGAAACTCCACCCGCGTGACGACCTCGAGCATCCGGATCCTGCAAGGCAGGCCGCTGCGCTGACTGACTAAGTTGTGATGCACCCGGCCTTCTCAACAAGATGGTGCTGATCTCGCCCTGCACTGTAGCCTAAGCCGCAGCCCAAGTGGCCCAAGCCAATGCCCCCAAGCCCCAAGCCCTAAAACCCCCAATTCAGGCGCTGGCTAGCTCTTGTAGGGTCAGTTGGCCAAGCTGATCCAGCCGATCAGCACGGCCAAGTTCTCTGCCCTCCTCGGTCTCGGCTGAGAACGTGCCGCGAAGGGTGGGCATAGCCGGCCTGGGCCCGTGAGAGGTCCACCGCAAAAAAAACTACAATCTCCGAGGTCCGGGCTGCAGGAGCGGTTCAAGGGCTAAGGGGCCTCCCACCCAAAACTCCAAAGGTCCAAAACTGATCTTGAAACGGCTGCAATGCAAGGGCTCACCACCAGTCACAACAACAAGCAAGCTACTCGGCCTAGGCCTAGAATCCTAGAATGGCAGCTGGGTGGTCCTGGGCCACAGCGCCGAAAGGGTGCGCCAACGGAGTGGAGGGCAAACCTCCGGGCAGCAATTGCAGGCAGCGACTGTGCTGAGTGCTGTGCGGAACTGGCGGCACCGTTGCTGGGCTGAGGTGCTGGCTGGGCCGTGCACCTGATGCAAGCTCCAGCAGCAGGGACTCGCAGTCATACTCGCTGTGTTCCTGGAGCAGTAGCAAAGTGGCAGGGATCCGCTGAGGCTGAAGCGGGCTTAGACTTAGACTTAGACTCTAAGACTTATAGACTTAGAGTCTTAGAGTCTTAGAGGCTTGGGTTCTTAGAGTCTGCATACTCCTGATTGCTGCTGTAACTGTAACAGAACGCAGGCGCTTGCCGCTCAGTGAACTTCAACCGCTGCTACACCTCACCAACAGCACGATCCCACGACAGGTGTGAGAAACAGGCGTCGCCGTTCAGGGTGCCCGGTGAAATGTCTCCAGGCCTCCGGGCGGTTCAGATACTGCTGAAAAACATGGCTACCCGAAAGAACGTTCTACGGTTCTACGGGCAACACGGCAACACTGATATCGATCGACCGCGCCTTGCGGAAGTCAACTTCGGGGCTGCAGTCTCGAGCCATCATCGAGGAGTCTGGAACCTGGGATTTAGGCTTTAGGCACTTTAGGCCTTTAGGAGCGAGTCAATAGAGTTCAATAGAGTGAAACTTTAAACTCTCCTGCTCTCTGTTTTTTTCCCTACGCCCACTGTCCATGGGCACGTTCCCGCGGGTCCGCGGGTTCATCGCGCAGGAAAGAGTCGCAGAGGTCCAGTCGAAAAGCATGGGATACTGCATGAACTGACTGCCATGGACACTTACTTAACGGTCTTAAGTCTTACCTTGAGTCTTAACGC